GAATGCCACAGTCACTTAATTTATTAATGAGAATGGGGTGAGAGACATTTTTTCCCTTGTGTCTGTTCATGTGGTTAAGGTATTCTTCAAAGTGCTTTGAAATGCAGCTGTAATGTTGATAAAGGAAATTGGTAATGGAAGGGCTGTTTGGACTCTACCTTACACACCATGGTCATGGTCACCGTCATACAACGCAGTCTCTCTAGATCCCGTCTAGCTTGTTAAAGTTCAGATGGTGTAGAACACAGTGGTGCTGCTGCTAAGATGACCACAGCGTGTGCTTGGGCTTCTGCCTGACAGTTGTCTTGGGGTTGAACTCGTACACATTCTACTGCAAATTTCACTTACAAGTATTGGCCTATTGTTTCTTAGCAATATCCTGTCATACTGCAGGGCCATCGGAGCCTGTGCTGTTTTAAGTTAGGCAATATTTTGTATATAAATAAATGTTCTTATTTGAAATAAACAAGGTTGTTTGTAGAGTTTGGCTTTGGGAATCTCTCCTTTTAACTTCTTTTGTTGTTTGGTTACCTGGCAAGTAGACACATTTTAATTGCATTGGGCTGAATCCAACATGACTAACCTTTCTGGTCCTACTGCTGTTTTCTATACCATAAAACTCAACAGCTTGGCTTTTGCTTTAATTATGGACGTACACATCTTGTTTACTGGATGCCTTCATTCTTTTACACAAAATGTTGTTTTAATTCAGGGAAGGTGATATTCTTTTCTAATAATTTAAAGTTACTTTCAGGAATTAATTGTATGTGGCTCCACTGAACTTTACTACATTATACTGTTATCAGGGTGAATTTGTTTAAATCACCAATTATAATCATGGTTTGAATCAGCAAGTAGGAAACCTGGGCTTAAATCATCATTTTAATTTTATTTTGCATTTATACATTTTTGCTTATTTTTAGATTAGTATTTTTTAAATCTTTTAGTCTGCCTAAAAAGGGGGCTAATTCTCATTGGTTGGTATCATCATCAGAATATCTTGATTTCTTTAAAATCAAATATAGCTTTTTTAAATAAATGTACTAAATTGTGATTAAATGATTACATGCTGTGGATTTAATTCAAACCCCTTACATGAAAATGGTAATAAATCTAAAGATCCTTTCTCATGTGTTTTTAGTATGTATGCTCAATCAGTGTTTTTCACGTAATGCGTAAATGAAGCATAAACCAATTTGCAATGCATAAGACCTGAGTATAAAACTGTTCCTATTCCTTCTGCGATCACAGTCTTGGAAATGAAAAAGTCATTCTGAATGCACCTTTGATAACAGGCACATTTGGAGGTCCTCTAGAATATGCAGATATAAAAGTGATACATTAAAAATCTTAGCAGGACTAGCAGTACAGTTAGCATAAGATGTATGCCTAAGGAGTTTTTTCCTTAATCCTGAGCCAAGCAATAGTTGAAGGTATTTCCCTTACCCAGAGAAGAACAGTATCTTTCCTTTCCTTCTCTTTTATGAATATAAACTAATACCATATTGGGACTGTGAAAAATAGGACAATGGAACAAGCTGCCTAGGGAAGTTGTGCGATCTCCTTCATCAGAATTTTTTAATACCCTGGATAGGAATCTCTCTGGAAGCATTTAAGAATAGTGAACCCTGCATTTGTATAGAAGTTGGACTAAAAGATCCCCGAGATGCTCTTCAGCCCTATAACTCACTGTATTACCATGTGTGGTTGTGAAAAAGTAAGAAAATGTATTTAAGTGCAAGTAACAAAGAATAACTATCTGCATCTGTAGGATCAGTAAATGCCGTGTGTTCTCAGCATACCTGTAACATGTTTTAGTCTCACACTTTCATCTATCTGCTTTCTACAAGCTAGTAAATAATATAAAACATGCAAATAACTGAGCTATTTAATCAGAACAAATGATTCTGAGCATATCTCTCAGCTTGTATCCTAAACCTAATGTTATAAATCTAAGCTTATTTCATTTAAAGGGGAAAATGTTGCTCTTTGACATATATATCATTTGGAGTCTGAACATGAAACTAAAGGATCATAATAGTTTGAGTGCCATGCACATCTTATTTTATATGTTGAAAACAAAACAAAACAAAGCAAACAGAGAGAAGAAAAATACAGGAACCAATTAGTTTTGGAACAAGTATTACCATGTCAGACTTTTACTGGCTCTCCTGAAATAATTAAAGTATCAAAATTTATCCCTGATATAGTGTCAGTTACTCTGCTTGAAATTAAATTTGCTTAGCCATTTTGGTTAAAATATGGCTGTGTTCGTCATGTTAGAAAGCCTAACAAACTCTCTATCAAAATCTCTATGCTTTCTTTCCATCCTACTCTTTACTTATGGGTGGACCTCAAAAATCTTTCAAATCTCTCACTTTTGAAATGTTGCCTACTTAAAAATGTCACACACAAATTTTTGCATCTAGATCCTTTTTTACTATTTTTCCAGATCTCTAGAGATGCTTTGGCAGCTAAAAATAGCTGTATTTTCTTTAACTGTAGGAAATATTGTGGTCAGACATGAAATTGGCAAATTATCCAGAGATGCTCACTTGAGGTAGAAGCTCAGCTTTATATATAAATAATTTTACCAGAGGCAAAGACTTTTTTTGGGTGATATCTTCCACTGAACCAACTGCTTTTTTCTGAGTACCCCAATTCATGGATCCACTTCCCATCCCCATACAAACAGGATTTCTAGTGAAATGTTGCATGCATGGAATCTTGAGGCAGCCTGGGGAGCCAGCATTATAAAACAATACATTTTGTGAAAAAATGGAAATCTTAGACTATGTTCTCAAAATGAAGGACATTAATGTCAGTACCTCTGTAACATTCTCTTACCTTACAGAAGTGTAATGGACGTTAAAGCTAAGTAAGACAGTCAAAAACTCGAGGCTGAATAGATTCAATCTTTGCAGGTTAGTCTAAGCTGTGTACTGATTGAACCAATAAGCAAGTGAACAGACATTCCCTTCTGATTCTGGAACTGCAGCCACATGCCTGGAGTGGCCCATGTCAGAAGCCAGAAGTACTAGAGCATGCCTCTCTGCTCGGCTAAAACAGACAGCTTCGGCCAAGGCTAGCCTGTCCACCCTACAAGGTGGGGTTTGCAGGGGAAGTGCAAACCATCCTGGGATGCTGGGGGACTGAGTTAACTTGAATCTGGAGGGGATCTTGAATCTGGAGGGGACAGAAGTTCTATAAGCTGATTTAACCTCAATCAGCTAAGTTTGATACTACATCCATCCAGGTTTATTTTAAACTGGTTTTGGTTATTTTGAAAGTGGTTTATATGAAAATGCACTGAACTTCTGTTGTGTTACAGATTTGAACCAGTTTCCGATTACTTATACCAGTTTGAGTGTAATTTCTGCCCCTAGCCTAATTCATTTGTGCTTGTGAAGCATTCCACTGCTTCAGCGATGAAAGAGCTCCTGTGCGGGTTAACAGTACCAGGCATTTTATATATAGATAACAATATTTCCATGCCCCATGTTATTTAAATACCCACCTTGAATTGGGAGAAGAATGACAGTGCAAAGATTTGCTTTTTGATGAGTTATTTTGTGCCTTTTTTATCTCTCTTTTGTGTGGGCATGTCTACATGGTCTGCTATGGTGCCATAGAAGGAAGTACTAAAAGACAATGCAGTAACAATCTGTACTATGCCATGCATGCCACATATGGTTATTTTTAGGCACTACATTGTTGTAGTAGTAGTTGTGCTATAATGGAGGAGCGCATCACTATGGTAACATGGCTGCGCTGTTACGAGTTTTGCCTGCAGACACTATGTTGACATAGCGCATTGCTATGGTGATGTAGCATGCCTTGTATAGATATGTTGCTTTTAGGCCCAGATCCTCAAATATTTGGAAACCATTGGGAGTCGGGTCCAACTCCTCAAAATGTTTAGCATCTAAGTCCCTAATCATATCTATTAAGTACAGAACAGGCAGGCAGCATTTTGATTATCTACTTATAGAAGCTATTTTAATCATAGTGATCCTTTTTTACTCTATCCATTTCACTTTGTCCTTTATCTAGGAGACACTACTGTTCGATGTGAGCAACTGGATCTGCTTCAAGATTGGCTGGCTGACTTCCGAAAATCTACCTCCTCCTCCAGCACAGCCAATCCAGAGGAGCTGGTGGCTTTTGATGTGATCTGTGGGGATCTGAACTTTGACAACTGTTCATCTGGTGAGACAAGCTTTTTACACATTCCTCTTGCAAATGTAGCACTACAGTGAGATACTGACATTTCCAAATATTTTCCTTTACTTCTCTATGGCAGTATTATGCAATTATGCAAGGATTTTGCAACCACATTCACATAAGAATACAATGCTATAAAAATCTTTAAAATAGGAGTAGTTTTGTGAAGCTGGACTAGGTTAATTCAATGTTTAATAACTAGGCAGTTCTTATAAACAGAGGAGAGATTTCTCTAAGGCACAAAGGGCAGTATTTCCCTTTCAGTCTAGAACAAGCTGGTTAAATCTCCCTCTCTCTAGAACAAGCTGACAGGTAGGCCTCTATCTGCTTTCCATTTTACTGTCACTGTAGCATCTTTGCTCCCTTTGTTTCCAGGGCTTGATCTATATCAAAGGTAGAAATTACAGGGTTTCTTATTTAAAAAATGTATGGGATGATGTACAAAGCACAGAAGTTAGGTATCTGTTCACTTGCCAGTCCCTGCCCCTGTCTATACAAGATGCTATATGACTACTGTGCAGTCATGTAGCGTGGCAGCAGCCATGATGTAACATTACTGCACAGTAGTTATGGGCTACTGTGAGTCAGCATCATGAAAAAGGTGTTGGGTTACTTTGCAGTCATTTACTACTTGTTCATACAAGTACTAAATGACTGTGGTAATGACTGCACAGTCAGCATCTTATGTAGACACAGTCCCTGACAATGTCATAGATTTCATAGATGTTAGGGCTGGAAGGGACCACAAAGATCATCAAGTCCAGCCCCCTGCCCCAGGGGCAGGAAGTCAGCTGGGGTCAAAGGATCCCAGCAAGACAAGCATCCAAACACTTCTTGAATGAGTCCAGAGTAGGAGCCTGCACCACTTCTGGAGGGAGTCTATTCCAATGACAGACATGACAATTTAAACTACTGCATTCAGATTGGGATCTAAAATTTAGAACTAGTAGGATTAAGAGGCACAGGTTAGTTACACTGGGCTAGTTTAGATACTGGGGTGTTCACTAGAAGATCATCACTGCCAATGTGGCTAAGTGTGCCAGCTTTGTCAAAGAAAAAATATACTTCCTTCCAAGTCCAAAACAACTAGTATCCTCCTATGTTTTGTGAATGGGTTTTCATTTGAGACTGTTGATGAGAGGAGGTAGGCTCATCAGCAGTGAAAGGTGAATTGATAGGGTTGGACAGATGTTTGGTCAAATAAAAAATTAAAAACATTTGCCACCACTATATTACTTGGTCTTATCTCATTCATAGTTTCATAGTTTCATAGATTTAGGGTCGGAAGGGACCTAATAGATCTTCTAGCCCGACCCCCCGCCAGGGCGGGAGAACAACAAAACCCCAAAACAAGAAACAGGACTCAAATGAGTCCAGCCAGGTAGGCATCCAGCCTCTTCTTAAAGACCCCCAGGGTAGGGGCCAGCACCACTTCCCTTGGAAGTTGGTTCCAGCTCCTAGCCGCCCTAACTGTGAAGTAGTTTTTGCGGATGTCCAATCTATACCTCCTCTCCATCAACTTGTGCC